AAGCCAGTTCATAGTTGCAGTTTGAGCATGAGCAGATAAAGGTCTTTGCATACCATTTTGTGAAATACACGGAGACAAAATGCCGGATACGTGCTCATGAAAGTTATGTAATTATTATTCATTTATGCACAAAATTACAGTGCACTCCATGATACACAGGTGGAAGTATTCTTTAAACAGGGGAAAAGCTATTTACGTAGCACCTCCATCGCTGTAGGAGTGATTATTTCAAGACGTACAAAGTGGGACCTTATTATGTTTTGAAGATATGTGGATATTCGGGGTCATTTGGGACTTGTGCTAAGCGTGAACTGGTGTATTGATCAGAGGAAATATCATGGTTAATGATACTTTGATGATAATTATATTAAATATTTCATGAAACTTGAAAAAACGGGACACAAAGAAAGGAATTAAAAAAGTGTACTTGCCAAGACATACATTTTTTAATAATTAGTAAAGATAATTAATCTAAGAGTACATACCTGCCCCATATTTGAGAAGGAGCTTGACGGTTGTCACGTTGTTGCTGGCGGCGGCGTAATGGAGGGCGCTGTAATTCTTCCCGTCGTGCTCGTTGATCAAGTCAACGACGTCGTCGGGACCAACACTCTTCAAGAGCTTCCTTAGCTTGTCTACGTCACCCGACTTGACAGCCTAAAGATAAAGGTATATGAGGTGAAATGAAAATCAAAGATATGTTCAAATTTCCTTGGGCTTGCTATTTACCATCCTACCGTGTCCGTTGTGCCTCTTATATATTATGTTGCTTTTGTGATGCTTTATCAAAAAGGTCTGTTAAATGATGTTTAAAAAGGAGGGAGGGGCTATAGTTTAATTGATATCATCGAAAGTTCTCAAGATAAATACAGCATAATCAAGAAAAACGAACACCGTATGAAGTGTATTTGTCAGAATTAAAATATAGCCTATACATTTACTGTGTTTATCTATCTAAGCTTGGTAATTGACTCCGTTCGTTGCCCTCCCCCCCCCCCCGAGATGTTGTGTTCTTTATGTCATTTTAATAAGAAAGGATCAATCAGGAAGCGTCTTTGTTACATGAAAATTAAAATTCAATGAAACCTAGAAGGAGTGGTATTTTGTGTCTTAATGACAAATATTTAACCTGGCGTAAACTTGATTTGGCCTAACTAAATAATTACAGTTCGTAATCAAATCTGTCTTTCACGCTCTTACCTTTGCTAGTATTCGTCTTTGCTCTTCCCTCTCTTTCTCAGCCTTGCCTAGCTCATCATCGAATCCAAATCCTCTCCCTTCCCACTTGAACTGCTCATCGTCGCTCTCATCCAGCAGATGATCAAGCCCCTCGTCATCGAGGCGGTCGGCATACGACGTCGTCCGATACATTCTAGGGCTCGAAGACGCCATCGAAGACCATAAATTTAAACAGGATCACTTCTATGGTAGCCCGATAATGGTTAAGGTTTGACAACGGCTTTTGTTATCACGACCTTGGTGAAAAGTATAGGTATCAGCTGAGGGCAGGGTCTTTAACCATGTAATACATTAACTCAAACTCAATCCAAATTATGCAGATACAGGAATAGAACTAGCTTTGTCGCGTGAGCCTCTAATTGAGTCATTTCAATGAATCATTCAAAACAAATAATTCCCAGGAGTATATTCCGATAATTCATAGATTTAAAAGATCATTATTGTTGTATGACTGTATCCATTACTTCCATTAAGGGTTGCCACAAAACTGAAGCATCATACTAAGCACAACGTGGACGGAAAGAAGATCATACCCACACAGTTCATTCCTCAGCTCTCCGCGTCCCATGTTCCAAAACAAAGACATAGGTTGCTCCCAGAACTGTTTCAGTCAGTGAAAATTATGAAAAAGGGGCTGACTGCTCACCAAAATGTTGATCTCAATATCTTGAATCATATCCCTTGGTAGAAAAATCAATTTCGAGATGTCTTCACGAACGGTTATATTGCATCTTTTAAACCTGAAAGCCACAGTCCGCCAAAAATATAATGGTAATATAGACTACATCTCGTAGAGGAGCTTGTATGTATCAGCAGAAGCAGGCGACGTTAATATTTCACACTGTCACAAGAAGCTCTAAATGATACAAAACATGAAAACAATACACTTCCAGTATGATGAAATCTTAATGAAAGCTAACAAATAGCACACATGATAATATCCCTAGTGCTAAATATCTTCTGCTAAGCATGGCCAGTTCATTGCACGACCCATTTCTGTGTTTATTGTGTATTCAGCATGACTTGTATACGTTTTCTCATCTACTATATTTTTGCCGCATCGACACGGTGGTTAAACTGCCTGTTAAGAAAAGACACTTCAGATCCACTCAATTGTTGAAGCATTATCGATCTGCCGTAAAAGTCCTTTTAATCCATTGTGCGTCGTGCTACGTTGAGCTGCCCGTGCCCGCTCGGGTGGATTTTCTCATTCTACCAAACGCGATTCAACAGATATATTATGATTATAATAGATCAAACTCCTTATTTTTTCATTTTCACAATATTTGATCAAGAAAAACAACAGTGGGGGAACAGATTTGCTTTTGTAATGAAGCAAGCAATGGTGATTTACTTTGCAGGCCCCGTTTTTTCTTCAAAGTGTGTGGGGGGGGGGCTAGAGTTTTTACGATCAGGTCATCCTAAACACCTTTCTTTACTTTCTGTATACACCACAAACAATGAACATCGATAATGAAGGTTAGTCGAGCGTAAATTAGCGTGGGGTCCAGAGCCCCGCTTTAGGGGTTTTAGGCTTTCAATTCTGATTTGATGAGCATATTTTGATACCTTATTTGTGACACTGACAGGTCACTCTATTTTTGTTTAAAGACGTAAATCATGGTCTGAAGTAATATTTCATTAAAATGAGACACTAACTAAAGATCAGAAAATTTAACGTTGTCCTTTTATTTTAGGAGTACATTTTATAGGTGAAAAATAAATCTATATTTAAAATATAATATAAGCGAGTAGCGTACCATCTCTTCCTATCACATATGTCTTAAGTTTTCAGAAAGGCTGGAAGTTGAATTTTGGATTGAATTTATACGAATAGGCCTATTTTGAACAAGAAAATATTCGCTAGTGAGTAAAGCGTGGTGCAACACGATGACTCTGTCATAAAGCGGTGCCACAAAATGTCTAGAACTTTTACCTAAGCGTATAGAACGACAGGTGTCATTAATGTCATTGTTCAATAGTTTAAAACACGTAATGTCACTAAATGAAGATTTTCAGGCATTTTAGATAATAATTATGAACTCACACGATCGACTAAGATTATCATTAATATTAGTACCTAAAAGTGAGATTTGGGTATAGAACAAACCATTTTAGGCACTTTAGATAATAATTATGAACTCACACGATCGACTAATAGGATCAATTTACGATCGTTTTAGGTATAGAGCAAAATGTATCATTTTGTATTTAACAATTAAAGATATAGCGTCTTTCTTTCTTTCCTCCTTTCTATTTCTCGTTAACATACTTTTTTCAAAAGATTGGGGGGGGAGGCCCCCCCCCCCCCAGACCGGCCGTTTCGTGGGCCCTGACTTGGCAGACCACATACCCTGCCAATTGAAAGTGTAAAAGCTGTGATTTCATTTTAGTTGTCCACGGCTTTACTCTTATGATTGCATAATTTGTACGTTGAGCCAGGAAGAAAATTCTTTTAAAAATTCTGCATCCTATAAGAACATTTAAATAATCATAGAAATGTAATACACTATGCTTGCAAGTTTACTCGATTGCCAGTGCTCACAAGGCATCAAGCTTCGCATATCTTGTAGCCCTGGCCAGTTCTCTTTAAAATAAGTTCATATTTCTTCATATATGTTTTTATGTAATTTACTGATATTTGTATGTATTCAGAAGTGAAATAATAAAGACAATGGCATCAAAATGTACTTGTTAATAATAAAGAAACATAAGTTTTATAATCTTTTATTATCAATATCAAAGGGAACTTTACCGTTCATCATGCTTTAAACTGATATGCAGCCAGCACACGATCAATTACTTTTCTCGGGAACTACTTTCGACATTGAATAAATGAATAAAAAGATTAGAAACGTGACTGTGATGGAAATAAATATTTATTTCACACTGACCTGGTATCTTGATCAGTGGTGAAAGGTTATGACACTCGTAAATAATCTACTTTCGCAATAGTTAGTTTCATGCCAAGTTTCATCTCTGTCATCTCCATAATATGCAAATATAAAAGAGAGAGACCTTTCCTTACTTCTACGATGCAATTTATTTCACAAGACAACATCATGTCCAGTACTCAACTTTATCTTTAAAGGGGAAATCAATCGTAATAATTAGCTGGTATTGTTGAAAGCAGAAAAACGAGAGAAACATTTAGTGATACTTGTATGCAATATCCGATTAAAAGTAGGAAAGTCATTAATTTATAAAGTTGTGATCAGTGAAACACCGATTGGGCGCTTGGCAATACTGTGACGTATCTTGCGAGGTCCTCTCCAATTTGTTCTGTACAGGTATTTCATTAACGTTTATTTCCCAAGTTATTGATGACGGAAATTATTTTTTCCATATATTGGGTTGTATAGAAACATATTTTTAATAATTATATCAAGGGCTCATGTTCAATGGGACATTTTCTTTCTGCTCTTATTAAAGGTAACTCAATATTATGACCTTCTCGATTAATAGGTCTCAAGTACACCAGCTTAACGAGCTTCATGAACAAGGAAATAGATAAACAATGAACTTAATGGAAAACAATGCAACTGATACAAGAAACGATACATACCGCATCCGTCAAAACCAACGTGTCATCAGATAATAGGAATAAACACAAATTAATCTAGGATCTCATGACACAAATAGCACTAAGTGTTCATCGCAACTCTTACTCCTATTACCAAGAAGATTGCTGTGGTAACTCCTGGCTCATTACCCTAAACATCAGACAGACATGATTGTATGTCACAAAATACAGACAACTAATGCAGTTCTTTTCTGCAAAAATAAAAAAACAGATTGCTTTCGAGTGAATCTAGTGCATCCGGAAGCCATTTCTTTCATTGCGAAAAAAGTAGGGTCTAACTTTATTTCCGCTTTCTTCACGTTTTTATAAATCGCCATGGAATATACAATGTATCCTACTGATATAACGCGGGAGATTTATCCAACTCATGAAGCTACTGATCATGACTTGCCGGGAATAGCGGACCAGGTTCTTCAGTCCCTTAGGTATGTATTACTAGTAAAATTATGAACTCCGTTTATTTTTTTTTAAATAAAATTATATATACTTATATTACCTACCGAACATGGGGAATTTTTGTTCATATTGGGGTCGCAAATATTTGGAGACGACTCGATCAGGCATCCGACAACGAGACGACTATTTTTTTAACGGTACACTTTGACAGACAGGATCGACATTGACATTCAAGGGTTTTTATTCTGTATGTCATTGTTAAATTGAGTGAATAATATATTTTATGAAAACAAGTTCAGAAAATGATATACCGACATGTTATTAAGGACGAGAAAAATTATGTTGTTATTATTCTAACATATCGAAAATAGTTACTTACATTTCTGCCTCCAGGAGGTCAGGGACATGGCAGTGGTTTCTAATAAAACTATCCTAGTTGGGGAATTGGACGTTTTTATTTATCATGCTACATATAAACAAGGCAATTGTTAATGGATTCATCAAGGAAAACAAGTACCATCTTGGATTGTGCCATTTTAATATTATAGGTCGGTAATAATACAAAATTGGGTAGACATAGATTTTAAATTAAATGTCCTCAAGCTTTTCGGCATCATTTTGAAAGTTTTCAATACTATAGAAATGATACTCATAGCGGTATCGTTGGATATTTTTTCGTGAAACCAGGTTTTGATAAGATAAGTTTTGATAAGTAAATTTTACCCAATCCGTAAGTTACTCATCTTCTTCTTTACTCCTTCTGATATCAAACAGTCTTGGATTGATCATGGCGGGAACTCTCATCTTCAACACCTTGACAATTTTCATCATTCTTCGCGTGAAATCTTTGAGATGCATACCTCACAACCTGTTGATCTTAAATCTGGCGATTGCGGACCTGGGGGTGGTTCTGTGTAGCATGTTGTTTTCTTTCGTCTCCATCTTTGACAATGGATACTTTCTCAGCTCTCATCGAAAAGTATGCATGGTAAGAACAAGAATGATGATGATGGTTGTGGTGGAGATGGTGGTGGAAGAGTTGGTATTAGTGGTGGTGGTGGTGGAGTTGGTATTAGCGGTGGTGGTGGTAGAGTTGGCATTAGTGGTGGTGGTGGTGGTGGAGTTGGTATTAGTGGTGGTGATGGTGGTGGAGTTGGTATTAGTGGTGGTGGTGGTGGTGGTGGTGGAGTTGGTATGATTGGTGGTGGTGGAGGTGCTTCTGATGTGTAGTATGGTATTTTGCCTTGTCTGGATTTTTGACGATTACTATTTTCTGATCACTTTTTGAAAAGTATGCATGGTAAATATGAGGATCGTGGTGGGGTGGTGATGGTAATGTTGGTATTATTGCTGGTGGTGGGGATGATGGTGGTGGTGGTGATGGTTCAGATCTCTTGTCTCCATCTTCGACAATATACTGAGCTCTCATCGAAAAGTATGCATGGTAAGAATGATGATGATTGAGGTGGTGGTGGTGGTGACGGTGGTGGTGGTATTAGTGCTGGTGGTGGGGATAATGGTGGTGATAGTTGTGGTTCTAAGGTCTAGTCTGGTCTTTTCTTTCGTCTTCATCGTCGACTATAAATACTAAGCGCTCATCGGAAGGTTTGCATGGTAAGAATGATGATAGTGGTGTTGAGTGATGGGATGGCTATGGTGATGGCAGTGGTGATGGTTGTAATTGTGATTGTGTGGGTGAGGGTAAGGGAGATGAAGACGCTTGTGATAGTGCCATGGTAGTATTGGTGCTGCTGATAATGGTGGTGGTAGTTGGGGTGATGGTGATGTGCCTGTAATTAACATGACTGGGTGTTATAATGATGATGTTGATGTTGCGCCATGAGGATTTTACAAGTGGGCAAAAGGATGTCATTAGAATGAAGTTGGAGTTAAACAAAGAACATATCAAACTGACTCGCCGTGAGGTGTTTAGAATTGGTAATCATGGTAATCGGGGTGTATTCAAGAAGTGATAGAGGCTACACTGTTGATTGATTCTGTGCTAATGCCTCTCCTGCTGCTGCCAATGATGACAATCCCTGGAATCTTTTGGAGAACAATGGGACATTGGGAAATCCGCAGGCTTGTAAAACAAGACAGGTTTCTCGTGAATTCAACTTGATATCGATTCTCTTTGTTCCTAAAAACAGGTTCAAGGCTTCTTGGTAATCACGGTTAGCTTTACCAATCTCCCCACCATTCTCTCGATCGCCGTAGATCGTTTGCTTATCCTCGTCCTGTCCCGCCATTTCCAGCCGAACCGAAGCCGGGTGCTCGTCATGGTCGCCATATCCTGGCTAGTCGGTGCGACCGTGGCGACCGTGGCGACCGTCTCCGCAACGATCGGGCACGCTACTTACATCAGCTACCATCCGGGAACTCTCCACTGCTCAATGATGTGGCGGGAGAATGAATCTTTCCGCATCAATACGATTATATTGAACTACGGATTTTTCGTTCTCTCCTTGCTCGGCTGCTATGTTTCCATTACCTACCATCTCTGGAAGGAAGAAAGACGCCTGAAAAGTCATTCTTTGTCGAGGTCCAAGGCAACGGACAGGGTGACCATGTCCACAGCTGTGACAGAGGGTGCTACACCTAAACCAGATGAGGGTGCACAGCAAGATTCGGGAGAAGGCAATGAGGTGAGAAATAAACCAAATTATTCACCTTCTGTATTCATTAGTCGAACTTTGTGGTTTCTCTAGTCTCGATTCCTTCTTCCTCCCAAGTTGGTTCGGTGAATTCATATTTCCATTTCATTTAGACATTATAGAGTATATCAAGTTTTTTAAGATGATGACTTGGATCCTAATCAAATGATTGGTTGAGGGCGTACACGTGACCTGCAGGCATTTACTTTGCCTAACACGTAATTTTTTATAGTGACTGGTTATTATCAAAATCATGTTATAAAACATCATTTATAAAGCAAATAAAACATAATCTTATACAACAAATAATACACATCATTTTGTTCGGGCATTAGTAACATTACCCACACTCGATACCTTCAAAACAGTTCAAACACCCTCGGCTATCGCCTCGGGCGTGTTAGACTGTTCCAAAGGTACCTCGTGTGGGTAATTCTTACTAATGCCTTCACTACTGTGTATTATTTTAATACTAAGTTATGAAATGTATAGGTCATTAGGGTAACGACTTGAGATAATTATACACAAAGTTTGATGTTGGTTAATTTATCATCTTCGTCCAGCCCGTACCTAATCCACCAAACCATCGAACTGAATCTAATTTCCGTCATAAAAGAAAACTGTGAATTATTTTAGTTTCAGATGAGAAACAGTGTCACAGTCCATTTGATGACGACAATTGTGTCAAATAAATCCAACATTTAAGCGAGAGGAACTTTATTATTCTTTTATATTAATCCCCTTCAGAGTTGGATATTTTCACACAGTGCCTTAGCGACCAAAGACAGAGTGGAATTCAGTGAAACTCACTCAAATCACCACTTGCAGGATGAGCAAGATGGCGCCCATACCACCAATGTGACCACAGCGAAGAAGAATAGACTGAAGATTGAGAGGCGTAAACATATGGCACACAAGCGAGTTGCAAAAATGGGTAATGAGATACATAACTGATACTTGACAACTTGGATTAAAATTGTCATTACTTAATGATGCAATTTAAAGAATTATGAGGTGACGGGCAACTGAAGATAAAGTCATATTTCAGTTATTTATCCAATGATAATTTACGTTACCCTCCTATACACATCCTATTAAAATTCGACACGAAATATTCCACGCAAAATTTCTCCAATTTAAATGAAATGAACAAGATATGACATTATTTCTTCATTAAAACTTTGGGCATTAAATGCCCCACATTTCAATGGAAACAGTAACCGTGACAAGTAACCGTATTGTACTTTGAATTTATTTAAATCATTTAAATGAAAAGTAAATTAATATCATGTTTTAATAGTGGAAATCAACCACTGGTACCTAATTTTCATAAGATTCCCAAAATTATGTGGGTCATTCTCAGGAAAAATTGTTGTGAACAGGATTTTACAATCCATGAACCTCCTTGTATAGAGTGTGCGATTTATTTTTACATACATGTAAAAGATGACAGGAGAGAATGTGAGATAGAGAGAGAGAGAGAGGGGAGGGCGAGAGAGACAGAGAAAGGCAGAGAGACAGACAGACGGACAGACAGAGAGTGAAAAAAGAAGGAAGTAAGTGAGACAGAGACATGACACACAGAGAGACAAACGGACAGTATAAACCTAAATAATTTAACGTGAAAATGCTTTTTTTTTTTTGCACTAGCCATACTACTGGTCCTCGCGGTCGTTACTTGCTGGACACCATACATGCTCTACCACTCGAAGCTCATCGGGAGCCACGAAACCGCTCGCCTGGGAGTCTTTACCATGTGGATGGCGTATTGCAACGCCCTCATCGATCCACTCATCTACGCCTTCGTCAACAGGAGTGTCAGGGCTGAGATGCGTCGAGTTGTCAGGAATATGCGTCGTATTATTTCATCGATTGGATCAAAGGTTCCTTGAAATTGAACCGAAAACTGTTTTTCTTCTTTGCATGAGCGCTTTGAAGGATGTTGTTACGATAACCCGTTGTTTAAATGTCATTTTGTTCCTACCAGTGGCGGCTATAGAGGGAAAGGGCGATATCATTCTTCAATTCTCCCACACGAAATTTCAAACACCCCCTCTCACACACACACTCATCAAACTTGTTATCAACGCGCCGACAGTCTTTCAGTACAATACACAGACGGGAATGAAGCCCTCTATGGAAGCCCTCTTATTCATTTATTTATTCATGATTATAGATGGACTAATAACATTTCTATTCCACATACAAAGAATCTTGCACTACGATTGGTCAAAAGTAAATCACTTGATGAAAGATAGTTCGCCCATCATTGATGGGAGAAGAAAAGTTCGTTGCACTGTGTAGATAGTAGTACTATTTTAGTGCAACGCACTTTCTTGTATACGTTGCGTATATGTACGTAATACGTACACAACAGTACTGCATGCACTGTACGTGTCGTACACCGTTTGCTAGCTGTTAATTGATGATTTGTTGCTCTAAAATGACGGAAGAAATTAAATGTTTCCGATGTGGAATATAAAGCAAATAATCACCTTTTGATTTCAGGCGATGGCAAACTACCACTTCCTCGGTGATCTGAATGTATACGCTATCTTTCCTCAGCTTCGTTTCGGAAGATAGCTACATCCAGATCGCCTCGGAAGTGATAGTTTGTCCCATCACCTTCACCAACGGTAATTATTTGCTTAATATTATGTTAGCCAACAGGTACGCTAACATGATACCATATAGAGAATGAATCAAGATTGTACTAATATAAATCGCTTTATATTTCACTTAAAGGCTCGTTCATATATGCCGCTGTAAATCGATACGAAGAACAAATAAGAAAACTGCAAGACGATTTATCACTTTATATCTGAACGAGGCTGTTTAAGTGATACTACACGCCAAACAACTCTTTAACATTTTTGTTGAAGTTGTTATTTGTGTAAATTTAATAATAGAGATGTTCGGAAGTCACATTTAAAGCTATCTCTTGTCATAAACCATAAATTCCAACATTTCCTCTGCCATGCTATTACGTACAAAACTCCTTGCTGTTTTGTTGTTGCTGATGTTTGTTTGTGTGTGTGTTTCCTTCCACGTACTGTGACTTTTCTATAACTGAAGGGACTGTTGGTTTGTGGGATAAATCAAAAAATAACATGTGAGTTTTTGTATGTAGTTGGTGTGAAAGAATAACCAGAAAAAAGTCTCCTGAACAGGTTTGCTCTTCAAATGCCATCACATTCGAAATATGACGAAAAATAGTTGAAAATTTTGAATGAATCTTACAGCCTAAACATATTTATGTTCTCCCACAGTTTTGCGTGTGACCTTTGGCAAGACTGGGTCAACTTCTCATTATTTGATGATTCCAAAACCTCACAATATGCACCAGTTTTTATATTAATATGTATATGTTAAATAATTAACATTTTCCAATCGCTTCCAGACAGTATCTGCTACAGTGTAATCGCATTACCAGAGCTTAACTTTATCTTTTAACTTTTCTTCAGGCATGATATAGGGGCTATTTATGTTAGACTCCAACGCAGAAGCGATACAAGGTGTGATAAACGCCTATAACCGAGAAGAAACAAACAATCACCGAATACAACAAGTTATCAATCCTAATTCGCATGTGCATAAGTGTCTTTCCGCAATCCGCATAAGCCCCACATTAAAATTAAATTAAAGCACTAGAAGTAAATGTAAAAAGTAATTAACGCACTTTCATAATCCACCACGAGATGTTGAATAGTATGCCTAACTTAAATGCAATCCAACACCATGTGTATCTTGATTAATTGATATTAACTGCAATGTGTATAATTATACAAATACTGTTTACATATCTAAAAGTCTTTTTATGATAGTGAAAATAACAATCTGAAGAACAAACTGAAACTTATTTATCACCGCATAATGACTTGTCTTGAGTCAATGAGTTAACTTGTTTCACTTTCTATGATCATCATCATGTCTTCACACGCATTGCCCATCTGTCATTAAATCCCCAATAGTGGTTGAAGTAATCGTGTTGAGAAGATTGATTGATGTTGTCATGTTTATTTTTTTATTTTTTTAAAAATAATGTACATTATCATAATGTATCATAATACAGGACATTTTATCTTTATGTAATAATAACCATCATCCTAACAGTACCAGTAGTAGAAGTAGTAGAAGTAGTAGTAGTATTAGTAGTAGGAGTAGTATACTTATTAGTATAAGTTGTAGTACTCGTAGTAGTAGTAATATAGAACTAGTAGTCGGAATGGTAGTCGTAATATACTAGCATAACAGTAGTAGAAGTAGTAGTATTAGTAGTAGTAGTAGAAGTAGTAGAAGTATTAGTAGTAGAAGTAGTAGAAGTAGGAGTAGTCATAGTAGTAGTAGTAGTAGTAATAGTAGTAGTAGTAGTATAAGTAGTAGAAGTAACAGCAGCAGCAGCAGCAGCCAAACTTGTTAGTGGCTGAACCAGGTAGGGACCGAATCGGCCACTCCTTCGCCCCCTCTCCACGTTTTTATGCACCAATTTGTATTGTTTATAAATCCTTGATCCGCCGCTGGTATATGTAGTAGTAGTAATAATAGTAGTAGTAGTAGTAGTAGTAGTACTAGTAGTAGTAATAGTAACAATAATAGTGGTAGTAGTGGTGGTAGTAGTAGCAGTAGGGGTGGTGGTAGTAGTGGTAGTAGTAGTAGTAGTAGTAGTAGTAGTAGTAGTAGTAGTAGTAGTAGTAGTAGTAGTAGTAGTGGTAGTAGTGGTGGTAGTAGTATTAATAGTAGGGGTGGTGGTAGTAGTGGTATTAGTGGTAGTAGTAGTAGTAGTAGTAGTAGTAGTAGTAGTAGTAGTAGTAGTAGTGGTAGTAGTGGTAGTCGTGGTATTATTGGTAGTAGTAGTAGTAGTAGTGCTAGTAATAGTAGAAAAAGGAGTAGTAAAAGTATTAGTAGTATTAGTAGTAGCAGGAGTAGCAGTATCAGCAGTAGTACCAGCAGTAGGAGTGTAGTAGAAGTAGAGTAATAGTAGTATGTAGCACCAGTATATCGATGTCTTTATGGTTGTTTTAACAGATTTTACTGAAAAAATACACATAGAAGGAAAAACCGAAACGGACTTTGCCGAGGCTTCCCGTGAAGTGGCCTAAGTACAACCCAACCTATTGATAACCAATGCATGCATTTTGGCGACGGGAAATCCACCCCCACAATCATCCTCACTCACAAACACACACACACACACCCACACAAATGAATGTATGACTGCATTCAGTGATCATAATTCGACAATGTTTTGTGCGAGGTAAGAGGTCCGAAGGTCGTTGTTGTTATCAACTAAGGGTGATATCTCTCATTCAAAATTTTAAATGTAAACATAACTTTGTAACTTCGTGATTAAACATAGTATATCAACTATAACTGCAAAACAGATAATGCCACCGACCAGCAAAAACTATTGGAAATTGGTCACCATCACTCAACCTATAAGAGGCCCGTGCTATTTAATAGGGTCGATAGGCGGACAACATGTCGTTCTCAAAGACACGTTTCTCGGTCATATTTTCGTCAAGAACTTGGAAAATGGTCAAACAAAAAAGGTATTTAGAAAGACAGACATAGCCAACCTATACCGCTGTGTTTCGCTTGAAGACATTGGGACAGAAGGGTTAGTTGCATGTGGCACTCGCAATGGCACGGTCGTCATTATCAACAACTGGAAGGAATGCGAATGGCGAATCATCAAGAGTATCTCAATAATTGAAGAGCCCGGTAAAGATCCATCAACGGCTAGCATTTTGGTGACTCTTGCGGCAGATGGAAGGCTCATGGCAGCAATCCACGGCTCTTCTACTATTCACCTAATCAACCCAAAAGATTGGACACTTGACGGGAATCTCGACACTGGGGATATTGGAATCTTCGAGGTGCATGCTATGACGAACGGAAATATCATGGTCAGGTCCAGGTGCAGTCCATCAGCGAACGGAAATACCAAGTGCAGTCCAGAGAAAAAGGATGTCTGCATCCTGAACGCCTCAGGGTCTCTCATCCAAAGGATCCATCTCCATGACAAGGATGTTTATGGAACTACAGTCAACAGGGTCGAAGACACCATACTCGTTTTGTACAGGGACCGACGTCGTGATGATGTCACAGTGGATGTGTTTTCATCCACCGGTGAGCTACTCGCACAAAGGATATTGAGTTTCCGGCAAACATCATTGACTTACCCGACCTTTCTTTGGCTGAACTCGAAGCACATTGTTATTCACGAGGACGCTGAAGGGCAACTATATGTATTCAAATCACAGCAGTATAGTCTAATTTATAGAAACATATTGAAATTTCTTATCAATTGGCATGATTTCTGTCAACGTTTACGTGAATTTTGTGAATGGTTCGTTTTTTTAAGGACTCAATTTGCTTCCTGCCCTTGAATTCTCTTTCTCCATTTGGAATAATGGAAGGAGGGCATATTGAAAGAGTACATATGAAGAGATTGTATTTTTAGACAAGTTTCTTAACAGCCATGGCAAGACCTAGAAACCAATGGAAATCTGCCAATAATAATACATGGAATTAAATGTCTGGTTTTGAGAATGGAAACTGAGTAACTTGAATAGAATTTGACTTGTTAAGTTTGTCCTACATAAGTTAGACTATACGTTTGATGGTATGAACATGATGAATGGTATATTCAGTAACTAACAATCCCCTTCTCAAAATTATATATTATTTATGATGGATATAGTACCTCCTTCCACGATTAATACACTTGTTAATACAATGGACAGATTTTAATGCCCTGTTAATTTATTTTCCTTACTTTCAAAATGTATATCATACATTTTATAGCCGACACTGTTCCAGTTGAATATCCAGTGTTTGCTTTTCACTTCCACGTCTACATACAAACACTGGCGTATACAGGGCGGGGTAGAGACTGAAACCCCTCCTTTCCCCAGAAATTTGACATTATAAATGTTCTGGTAATTATTTGGTCTATAATTATGTTATTGTTTGATTATTTGGTTTACTTTGTATTATCTTGTATATTCTAATAATGAAAATACATTGGAGTTATATAATAAGCACTCAACAAAAATCACGTCCGTCAAATCGTACCCGTACGCCTATGTATAAGAGAACAGTACCACGTTGTTTTATTACACTATTTTCAATATAAAATATACTCTGGTTTTCATAATGATAATCCTAGGTAGATTGGGGAATTTAGCTTCTTTTTTTTCCGCGTTCATCAAGGTAAATTTGGACGGTCGCCCCGGAATTCTCAGGCTGGATTTAGGCGTTATATACCCCCCCCCCCCCCTCCCCTTCAACATACTGCTCTGTTTATGCGCATTTTACAATAGAATGATAGACCTTGAACCTTAAACACTGTTAAAATTGTAATGTTTGCCTACTCATAAAAGACATCATCAAATACTGAATTGATTTGATAACAAACAAATTTTGAAACACTTCATGGAATGAAATAAGCTGTACATTTTATCTACCCCCCCCCCCTTTTTTTTTTCCTTCTGAGTGCTTGCCCGAGAATCATGACATATACTAATGCTTCTAAATATTTCATTTTAATCAAGACCTGTCATTAAATTCCTATCTTGATTTATGGCAAATTTTGATATATATTATTAAAATACAGCGAGATTCGGCTGCAGTTAATTTTGATGTATATGAAACCCACCCATGCTTATCCAAAAAACAGAAGAAATGTTCTGGATTAAAAGAATATTAATAAATGAAATGTTGCAGGCATGAAACGACCATATCACTGCAAGTGATTTCATTTATGACAAAACATTACAGTCAACAGGGAGGGCTCTACCACGGAAAGTAAATAAGGAAAATTCATGAAAATAATGGTAGCATGACAGAAAATAAAAGAACAATACAACACAGAAAGACAAATATATTATCAAAATGTTGGGTTTCATTCAAAAAGATTTCTCTATTCAAAATAATAACAGAAAGCTTTACTTTTGGTCATACATTTTCTCAGGCAGTCTCCCATCCTAGTCGACAGAAATAAGACTAACACATCATGTACATGAAATTAGGTTAGTGTTTGTCGCCCTCAGTTTCAGGTTTTATTAGGCATTACGTTATGTCTCTATAAATTTCATCTGAAACCCAATCCAGCTCATCCATAGGACTCATCTGAAGCACTAATAAATACTCTCTCCAAGGTCACTTCAAAACACTGTTATATTATGTAACAATTATTTTATATGATTATTGTTTTCAACAATGACGTCATCTTCTGAAGGGAACATGAAGAGAGAACGAATCATTACAAATGGTTAAATCCAAAAGGGGCTCTCTGTTTCTAAAAAAAGCAACAACGACAACAAACAAAAAAGAGAGGGAAAAAGAGAGGTGTTTGCCCAGATGGTCTCTCATCCAAGTGCTGACCGGGCAAAATGCTAACGTTGACTCTGATTTTAGGAAATGGAGCGGTAGATAATTCATGGCTCGGCAATCTTGGCTGTATTTGAAATAACTATCGATAGGTATCTTGTCAATGAACATAAATAACTGAATAAACAAATAAACAAACAAACATGTTAATTGAGTTCTTTCCCAAGGTCTTTGTTGAGCACTAGCTGATTCTGCTCTGGGATGCAGGCCCCAAATTCGAAGCTCTTCTATTTTTCATTTAAGAGGGAGGGGGGGGGTGCTTTTAATAGCCTTGAATGTAAAATGACCTTTGTAATGCCTCGTGCAAGTAAAGCTCCCTTTCATACGACAAGTAAAACTCTGCCCATCATTGTTTACAGACTGCAGGGTAGGATGGGACTGTGTTCAGTGAAAAAGACAAAAGAACTAAACCAAATACTTATACAAAAATTTTGGAAACTTCATTTGAAAACTCGAGAATCGTTATAAAACTGGCAAAAGGGGAATTAATGTACTCATAAATGGGACATAGCTTTCTGGCGCTGGAGAGAGAGCTATAGACTAGAGACAGAGCGAGAGAGTGAGAGGGTGGAGGGAGAAAGAGAGAAAGAGAGAGAGAGAGAGAGAATGAGAGTAAGATAGAAAGCGAAAGACTATAAAGGGGATAGGGAACATCCTAAATATGGGTACTAACAACGAAGAAGCCCAGCTCTTCTAAGCCCCCCCCCCCCTTTCCCTTCATCCTCCCGCCCTTCAAGTTCTCAAGTGTGAGAGAGAGAGAGAGAGAGAGAGAGAGAGAGAGGAGAAAAATAGATAGATAGATATAGAGAGGGGGGAAAGGGGGAGGGGGATAAAAGGTATACGAACATAATGCATAGAAACACAAATTAATTCCCTTACTACAACCTCTTTCCTTATAAAGTACAGTGACTGTCTAAACGCCACCATGTAAAAGAAGGATTATAATGGGCATATACATCAAGAGGTGGCTTTTAATTCACAATTCCAGCAGTATCGTTTCCAAACAGTATCAATGCATACCTTTAATTTACTAATTCTTTTTTTTTTCTGACTGGCAAATTTCTTTTAAAATTACTGATTAAACACTTAGTTTGCAACACGGCACGGATCTTTTTATGTCACTTCTATACATCTTTGCAAATCGCATAATAAACATACTCCGTACACTTAAAGCCCCTCTGCACTAGTTTGGCAAGGAAGGATTATACCTCCCTGGAAGGTCACTGGCAGGTGTTTATCTCATCAAATCAGCTCTCAATTAACATAAGAAAAACGGCACCATGTGGGATCAACGGGCACCGCTTATGTATTGTTTGCTATATAGAGGGCACAAGTAGCTAAAAGTTACTGTAGTACAATGGGGCTTTAAAAAAAACTATCATGAGTAGTACGACTACCTTTTAATAGTCACACTGATCACCCCTTTCCCTTTTATTTCTATACCTATTTGTCTGTCTATCCGTCGAACTACCCCTCTTCATCTCTGTCCGTCTCTTTCTCTCTCTCCCTCTCTCTCTCTCTCTCTCTCACTCTACTTTATCCCTAGTTTTCTCTAAACAATCTCACCCACTCTACATGTAGTATGCCTATCTTCCCCACCCATTCTCTCCGGCTCTCTCCGGCTCTCTCTTGCTCTCACTCTTTCTCTTTCTCTCTCTCTCTCTCTCTCTTTTTTTTTGTCCCTGTCTGCTGATTGAAAAGTGAAGTCAGTCCCCAGATTCAAAAGTCAAATCTGATGTATATAATATACGTATGTGACTTTTTTTTTAAATGGACAATACATCGGTAATACCGATCAGGTTATGTTTATTTTAGTGTACATTACTTAGGCCTATTACTAATTACTCATAGAGGAAAGGAAGCAGAACACATGCTCGATATAGAAAGACTACCCTGAAAAGGCTCTATTCACTGAAATTTACACAAGTATCATTTGTACAGCTATGACGAAATTAGTAAAACTATCCATATATTGTAAATGATCATTAATTTTGATAAATATAGGCATACAAACGTCCAACATACTGTAGGATACACCGGATAAGAGTGAGATGTATTAATTTTCAAGAGATCAACATAAGGTTACATAACTACGATCATGCAAATGCTTGGAAATCGGCGCCCCTTTTGAAATGTGTGATATCTTGAGAGCTATGAAACTATTTCCACGAGAACCAGTGAAAATAATGACTTCAGAATAATACTTAACTTAGGGCAGATATAAACTTTCATTTTTTGTTCATATGCCCTCTAGGTCTACGTCTGAGGCTCAGAACCCCCCCCCCCCCCCCCTGTCAGTCAAGCTCCCTAGATACATATGATCTGAGTAAGACAACAATATTCACTGTAAAACGACAGATTTAGTATTAGTAACGAAGTGTTACGCCGATGTGAGAAATGGAGGGAGTTCAGAATAACTTCTATTCTAATATCAATAACAGATTTTATGTCGTGCAAATAGTCTCTTAAACACGATCGCATAGACTTTCAAGAAATCAACTTAGGGTTATTTAAATAGCGCATTGTAGTACCTACATAGGTTATGTCCGGACTTTGTGGGTCCATATACAATTCATTATCATTGTCATGCATTTCATTTGATCTTTTTTAAAAACCTTTGCGATCAAGTTCATATCCAACTACACGTATGACATTGTCTCTACATTAAAGGTCATACAAAGTTTTGGTATGGGGTCATGAATTTGGTTCAAATGAACATTATTGTAAGCATATGCGATGCTTCAATATTCAGTGATCGTTGTCGCGGTTGAAATCGAGTCTAAAGTTATGCAATTGTAAATAATAAACTCTTTATGTTGTATAGCTCCCTCTTCAGGTCAAGATAATAATGGAGCTATAAAACAATGTTTCTTCACTAAAATCGACCGATGAGCTATTCCCGTTTTGAAATTATGTATCACAACTACATATTCTGAGAATTTCATGGTCGCAGCTATCATTGTACGGACGTAGGCGCTATTTGAAATTCATCAAAATTTACCGGGAGCACCGGTAAATCTTTATATTCAATTTTTCTCGAAAACAGAAGTGTTTAAGGGGCTAAAATTTTCAGTGCTTATATTACATTCACAGGGGCATCCAAATATATCAAAATTGTAAAGAATCACTATCCACCCAATTTTCGAAATTTCCCAAAACTTTGTATTACCTTTAAGAATGAACTTGCAAAACGTGAAAAGCATAGGAGCCAAACAGGTTACTAGTTGAAGAGATTTTCATGAATTTAAACAAAAATCTCACGACCATTACCCTGATGACCCCCTGGAAATTGCCATTGGACAACTTCACTATCGAGACTATCCTATCCGTGAACTCTTATCCCATTGGGGCATCTAAATGTACAACAATACATGTTTAATAAAGGGGTAGTTTTGGGGAGAAATTGTTCTAGGGATAGTTGTCCGGGGCTGAGGACGGTTATACTCGACTACCGATGTACATGTTCGAAGTCAAACGACTACAATGTATGGTTTCTGTTACACATAATTGGTTGAAATGTTCCATGTAGTTCACAAAGGTATTTCAAATAGAAGTAAAACCGATAAGAACATTACTTGTCGCAGCAGTCAACTTATGACTGCGACGCACAAGCTCAGAACCATACATGGTTTGGCCATCGTCGTTAAACATGTAGTTGGACACACAAGTATGGGGAATGTTGCTTCGTTGGGCAAATACAAAACAAAAGAATATACGCCATAATGGCCCGATTTCACAAAGGAGGTTTGTCGACAAACCTAGGTTTATGTGCGTCATATGACGCGTTTCGACGTGTTCCAAACCTAGGTTAACCTCCTTTGTGAATTCGGGCCACTGATTCCAAATGAAACTAATTTGGCTAAACTCAGTGTGTAAGTGGCTCTGAATAAGCTAGAACTTAGAAGGCTTTTTTTTTTCTTCCAGCATTATGTTGGCTAGCTATACGTATATGACTATTCTTCTTTATTTTTGCATGGCAAACTGTTGGCGATGGTCTTCCTGTACATCTTCAATTCCTTCTTGACCCGTCTGTTCATGAAGGCGTACACCATAGGGTCTGCTATCGTTACACAGTATGTTAACCAGAATGCCAGGACGCCGTACCAGTCTGCAGGAGAATCGAAAAAACTCCAGACGGCAAGAGGGAGAGAGAAAACTATGTTGCAGCAGACCAGTAGTACACCTTAAGGGGAAAAGGAAATAAAAGGAATCAACAGCGTTTGATCACGATGAAATGACAAAAATCATAAACCGCATAGTAAGCAAACTGCAAAGAAATGGAACGAGACTGTAGAGAACCACCACCCCTTCCTCTCTCTCTCTCTCTCTCTCTCTCCAAAAAGACATGGTTTTGTTTGTTTAACGAATCATGATTTCGTCATCGGTAATGATATTGGACAATACATCGACAAGCAAAAAGTACTTTCATAATTTAAAAAATGTTAAAAGCAATGCAAGTAGTACAGGAAATGATTCATCATATTTGTTTGTTTCAAGTAAGAACAATTCCTAGATTCTTTTTATTTGTTACCTGTTAAGGCGACTCTCCTCTGCCTAATATTACGCAGCTTCTCGAGCTTCGTCTTGCGATTTCTCCTACGGACACGCGGCGACCTCACGACGTCATCCATGTTTTCGTCGTCCTTGCCGGTGGCGCAATCCACCATCGATGGTGACATAGAGTGCGTGGTCATTGTTTGAGATGGTTCAGAGTCAATGTCACAGGTCTGTTCGTCGTCTCGGTCGCTGTAGTTCTCCGTGAATTCGTCATCATCGTCGTCTTCCCTTCCGTAGTGTCCTAGTCCTACGATCCCCTTGAGACTGCCGAAGAGGTGCGACAGTCGTCGGGTTCGCGTTTCGATGACAGTTCTGTAATTCGTGCCAGTGTCGTCCTCACCTGTTCCTGCCGAGTATATACTGGTACCAGGGGTGAAACCCGTTCCATGTGCAGATTTGAATCCTTTGATGACGCAGTTGTCTTCTTCACCATCCGCAACGTCTTCATTTACGCTAGGTTCTTTCTTAATGTTTAGCAATGCACTCAGTCGAGCACCTAGGCCATACCTAACCGGTGCAGCGCCATCATGAGCCGACTGGTGTCTGTCCTCGAATATTACACTTTTTCTATTACGTTTGATCGGTTTGTTTCGATTCCAGGCAAGTGAGGCATCACAATCTTCCACCTTGCTGATGCTTTTCACCTCAATTCTATTCGTATCCTGTGATGCGTGTCCAAATGAGTTCACTCCTGGAGGGGCCTCATATCCCTGTTGATCGAGACATTGTGAAACCGGTTGCTCTTCGTTAATTCCGAATTCAACAGATTGTCTGTCTGGTATAGTTACTCTCATGTCAAACGTCACCTTCCGGAAACCGACAGGACTTGTGGGAACCGGTACTGCAGGTCTGGCTACAATGGTTGACCTCAGTCCACGTCGACGTCTTCGCGTAAGCTTCCGGTCTCTTTTCCAGAGTAAAACTGCGATGATGGTGTATGAAACCACCATCGTGGGCAAGACAATACCAAGCATGATGACCTTTGTGAAGATATTAAATGTATCAACGATATGCGGTGGTACACCGCATATTCTCCACGCCTCTATGTATTTGATGGTTGATATTGTCTCTATTAAGGTAGGAAGCAGAGAAATGCTTGCTGCTATGAGCCAGGCGGAAGCCACCATGACACGAACCCGTGTCCAATCAGAGATGTTGCACTTGTTGCAAGAGGTCACCACGATCACGCGATCTATTGCGATGAAAGCTACCGTGATGAAGTTGATGAAGATGAAGAAAACGGTGAAGAAACCAACGATCTGTAAAGGACATGATTCAAATTTGTTTCAGGCTTTCAAGAATCTGTGTTTTGTTATTTTTGTCATGATTAAAATCAAACTTTTAATATACAAAATAATTTATTTAATGTAGACGTACATGTACATTGTACAGTTCAAGAACTATATGCATGCATGACCACTCTAGCTACCCATTTTACTGCCAAGGCCTTTGTATTGCCAGTTTACTTTTGGGATATTGGCTCACCTTACATGCTGGAGGACTATCCGTCAAGTATTCACCCCCATCAAGGACCGATTTGAGAGAGAATGGCATGACGAGGAGGGCCCGACCTAGATCAGCTACGGTCAGGTTTAAGATGAGCGTGTTGTGGGGAGTATTCCTAAGGCTCTGTACCCGCAGGATGGTCACGAGCGCTACGATGTTTGCTAGCCACGCGAAGACCATGATGAACACCAAACTGCAATGACGAAGAACAGATAAGAGGGGATCGAAATCAAAAGTTTATACAAATCTCTGCAAGAACCACATCAAACATTGAAATCCTCCTGTGATCAGATTCTCAAAGAAAAGGCAATGATTATTTTTTTTATGAAAATGAAAGTCTTTACAATTTTAAATGTTCATATTAGTGATAAAAATAATAATATAAAGCGCTAACTAGCGTTATACATATGTTACTATTTTTGTTATTATTATCATTATTATTATTATTATTATTATTATTACTATTGTTAACGTTATTATTGTTATCATCATTATTATTATCTATATTTATATTAGCGTTTCTTCCTCCAAGAAAGTTTGAAATCTCTTGAAATTTAGATTACGTTAATCATGTGACTATCCAAATCCTGTTTTACATCTTCGAATGTTCGTATGAATACTATAATAGCAAATTCTTCACAAACGGAATCGCAGTCCGATCGTGAAGTGTGCGGTCGGCTTAACACACCAACGGACATTCGTGACGGGGACGGGTACGTCAAAGGCAGGCGTCCACTGGCAGGTCCAAGATGAACATGTTTTATTTGAAAGGAAAATTGAAACGGACCCCCCCCCCCCCCTCTCTCTCTCTCTCTCTCTCTCTCTCTCTCTCTCTCCCGAGTCCCGAAAGCTGCTTCCAGATTTGTCAGCGAAGGGTTTATTAGACGTTTGAAGGCCCTATTAACCGTTTGACTACTGAGTTCTCCAATTCAAATAGGCTTAATACATGAGCAATCCGGTTGCAGTAGGCATTGGGTGAAAAGGTCCATACAACCAATCTGCAATTGATATATGGTTAATTTGCTAGGCTACCGGGGTGTATCCCAGGTCGTCTTTCCCTTTAGGAAAATAATTTTGGGGGTTATTTTCTTTATATTTGTTTATGGTATTCACTAGAAAACTAGACGACTTTAATATCTTCTATTTTCTTATTTAAAAATGGAAAATAAACAAGAACATTTTTTAAAAGATACTATGTCCCTTTTGCAGCCAACATCAAATTCTGTAGAACTTTGCAGGAATTATGAATATGTCATGTATGTCCTATCTGTGAAAATTAAACGTTAGCAGTGTCCTATATTCAAATTATGCGAGGAAACCCGTTTACTTGCTAGACTGCACTGTCAGACACTATTGAGTGACTGACTAGCTTTTATCTTCTTTGGTATAATAACATACATAAAATGAGCTGTAAATGGTACATGAGCATTTGTCTACATCAATAACCCACTTCTAGTAATGACCCAAATTAAACTGATTAAATCTTTGCGCAGCATAAAACGTACGACCATTACAATGGTCTGAAAATCAGATTATTAATTACTGGCTCTATAGCTCTTAAGTCGATTCGACAACTAATAGTCGTTATTTTCCCACTTAAAGACATGTACAAGCCCCCCCCCCCCCTTTTTTTTTTTTTTTAGGGAAGTTCTAAATTAGTATAATCTTTCAAATGCCGTTAGAATTTAACCGTTTCACTGTTGGGGCCTGCAAATGGGGCATAGTACCTTTTAAAGGCTAAGGATTGTGAACAAAATATATAATTCAGAGTTGGAATTATTCAAAATGTTTTTACTGTGCTGTTTTCCCCGCCATATTTCGACTATTTTAGACTGTTTTATTTTGACTAGGGATGTCATCCACGTCCCGGAAGGTCTCTGCCCCCCTCCCCCTCCCTCCCCCTCCCACTTCCCTTCCTCCCCTTCCTCCCCCTCCCCCTCCCGGACGTCAATTTGAAAACGCCATTGAAATGCAGGCACGTAGCCACGGGGCACGTGCCCCCCCCCCCCCGTGCCCCCTAAAATTTCCAAGATCGGTTGAACTTTTTTAGACCCCTTTTTTTTTACCTCGATCGATTACATGTATGTGCCCCCAAACATCAAGTTCAAGTTTCAAGTTTTATTTATCTTTCTTTCATAACACACTTTACAAATATGACATGAATATAACAAGTTTACAGAATATGGCGTTACAAAAGAAAGATGAGGTGACCTTGGTTGAAAGCAAGGCTTGTGGATTTAAGGTCCCTCATGAGTAGCTTATGAATATGTCCTAAAAGAACAAAACTCGTCAGTTAAGAATAATGCATACATTTAAGTGCTGACAAAACTAAACTATAAACTAAACAACTGATAAAATATAAACATAAATAAGTATAATAAAATCTACTGACTACTAAATAAAGGCTATAAACAAGAGAAACAGGAAAATACAATGAGCAACAGGGCTGAAACACAGACAAAAACAAAAAAAGACAGACAGATGAATAGATGTGAGAGATGGGAGTAGAATTATGCTGACCTATATAATAATTAATTTTCTTAAATATTGATCACAACTATAAATCTAGACGATATCGACTCAAATATAGTAACTTCAGTTTGCGCTTAAATACATAAATACTGACTGATTGCGCTATTCATCGAACTCTGGCTAAGGGCCTTTTGAAATGGAGTCCGTATAATAAAAAAAATCCAATGATACCAGTGCTTTCCTCGTTCATCCTAAACACATAGCCTAGTCTTGTTTATATTCGATTCGGGTATGTGTCATTTATCAAAATAAGTACTTTACATTATTAATTGTATTTAGAATCATTTCTTGACCAGAAAAAAAAAGTACTTCATTTCACATGAAGGACTTATCATACTCCATACATCCATGATAAATCAGTTTGAAAGGTTCAAATATCGTGCTATCATTAAGTACATTAAGTGAGCTTAGTAAGATTAGAAAGTGAAAGATCGCAGAAAAGAAGGAAATCATGTCATATCAAGGACGTGCTGGTACCTCCTTGGTCAGACAGATGACAAGAGAAAGAAATATTTGTTGTTGTTGAGTTCAATAGTATATGACAAACAGCCAAATTTGACTATTATCTCCAACCGCTATTTTTTCTTGGTATAAACTTTGATTTCAAAGAAAGCAGATCTCAGGTCTCTTTTATTATTATTATTTCCATTTTCGTCCCTGTATTTTTTTAGTTTATTACTCGAAAATCTGTGCGATCATGCTGCACATAAATTGCTCATGGCACACTGTAAATGGTAAATCCGGTTTGGCATCGAGTATAGGCTGTAATAGCATGACGATACCAGTCACATCTTACTATACTCCTATCTCTATCCTTCGTTTTACTTCCCGCTTCATCTCTCTGCCCCCCCCCCCCCCATCCACTCTCTCTCTCTCTCTCTCTCTTCTCTATCTCTCTCTCTGCCCCCCTCTCTCTCACTCTCTTTCTCTCTCTCTTTCTCTCAATCTACCCAACTATCCATATATCTACCTATCTATTTATCCTTTTGTTCTCCCCCTCTATTTCGGTACCACTTTTAGCTGTAACACGTTGTATTTTGTTTCATTTCTCGTGTTGTCTCCATCTAGTGTATACATGTATTCTGTTTTTTGTTTCTGTACATGTAGTTTAATATAGTGAACCTACATACACGTAACAAGCCTAGCTTTTAAGTAGGTTCACTTTTCATTTCCACATTCCATGATTTACAGAACATTCTTTCATGTTATTAATCACGCTGTTTCACTTTGTATATCATCTTATGTTAAGGCCTCCATGCCCACCTATTATTATTATTGTTACGTCCTTCACCATTGCAACCACTTCAATCAAATGTTAGTTTTATTTATGGGAACCTATAATTTACAAGCTGAGCGTTTTAATAGGTTCCTCACATTTCACCCTGTACAACCTACTATTCATTACAATTAATTTCGACGTCTTTTCAAAGAATTTATCATATAATGTGACACGTTTAGTATATTTCATATTATGTTCTAATTTTGTCAATTATGTGAATTCTTTTTGTGTGAAATGTGAACAAAATAAACTTGAAACTTGAACTATGATTCAAGATTACTTACTTCCATACATATTATCTTATAAATTATAGATAACGAGGCATAATACATTTTTATGAAACATTAGGAAATTAGGAAATGTCAATGTTTCGTAAAATGTATCATGCCTCGTTATCTATAACTAACCAATCAATCAAACAATTAGAGAAGAAGATGTTTGGAGAAAGGACAAGTGAGTTATGCATTTGAAATTTGTAATCGAGAAAACACAAATGGGCTCAAAAATATTACTCTGTGACTTTCCTTTTGAGCACCTCTCCTTAATTTTCATGTCCTGAAACGTTCCTATTTTTCTCCTTTTTTGGAGAGAACAATTGCTTTATAATAACTGTGACCTAGATTTCATTTAGCACTTATTTTATCAACAACCATGAGAAAGGATTGAATTTTCAGTGAAAAACTAATAAAAGAGGAAATCCATAACAGTATCATGAAGTAGTGCATGTTACCAATATACGTTTGATCAGTTACAACTTTCTAGAAAAAAAAGGCTTAGTTATTATTGAATTTTCTTATGGAGTGTCCTTACACTTTCACTGATCATATGTCTTTCTACTTTCTGCTTTTGATAAAATGAACTTCCTCGACACAGAGCTCACTTCCTGCTTAATATAATACCTTAGCGTAGATATAGTAGCTCAACTCTATCTGAAAGAAATGTATATCAAAATCAATATCATTTTGCTCTTGTTCATGTTTTATATTTGAAGAAAGTAGTTATACTTTCAAATCACAAAATAATTTTGTACCTCGTATTATATTAGCTGATATTTGTACGTACCTTGTAGCATAGAGAATTGTTTCATACCCATCAGGTGGATTCGGCCGTAGTGTGCCACTCGAAGAGTTATTATACATATTTGTCTTTCAAGAAACAACAACTAAAAACTCGTCATAAAAGATATTTTTAACAACACATGTACAAAATGAAGACATAGCCTACAGTATCCGCTTTCATCTACAGTCCAAAGTGAAATTGAACGTGTAAGAGTAGAATATATACTATTGGTTGACAAATGAGAAGTGAGATTTGTCCGTTACTATATTCATGCTACGAGCGATTTCTAATTGCAGCTAAACATCGTTTT